GGCTGCTAGACACGATAACTTTGGACCTATCGAGGCCGATGGTGTTTGTTGGATTGGGAACGTGGAATGCACTGTTTATATATGACTCAAATTGTGTTCTCCACTGAGTCCTGCCAGTTTTCTTCAACTCTTCTTCAACTCTTTCTGCGACAGATGGTTAGCCCCCAAGCAGACGTAGAATTTTCGGACTTGGACTGCCCTCTTTCACGGTTTTGGGCCATGATGCGGACCGGCCAATCACCAAGTGGACTGGGGTGCTCTCTGATAGGCCATTCGATTGTCCGTTAAATCCACAGCCTACAATCGATAATGTGATTAGTGTCCGGCGAGGCAATCGGTACTCCTTTCACGGAAACACTGCGGGCATTGATTATTGTTTCCTTACAAAACATCGCGAAAAACATTTGAAACGGAGAGACAATGGTTTCTTACAATGATTTCGCCCGAGACATTGAGAAATTTGGCCCAAATTTGCGATGTTACGTACGGAAACATCGGATCGAGAACATTGTCCCTCTCTTCACAATGTTTTCCCCAATGTCTTCTGTGGGAACAGGGGCCAATGCCCGCAGTGAAAAGTGCCTCCGGGATATTGGGCTTCCATTCATGCCACACAACCTGAGTACTACTACAACATTACATTATTATAGACACAAGAATCAAATATGTACAGAAAGTCTTGTTACAAACAACTCGGGAGATAAAGTAGGTGCCTCTGCTGCAGCCTGGCGCTGCAGCGCGATCTAATGTGAGATACTTGTATGACGACATCATTATCTCGGTGAACTCTGCCAGCCTCGGCGGCTCGTTGACGGCGACGGCCATAGACATTCCCCACGCTCTCGGGCGAAATCTTTTTAGAACGGGCGGACTGCGGGAGAGTGGGCAAATGCGCCTCCCGTCCCAGGTGACCCGAATAAGCCGAAAGCTGGGGCGGCAGACGGGGTTGGAGAGATGCCGGGCGTCGCGGCGGCTGCAGACAATGGAGAGATCTCAGAAGAATCAAGCTCCCGCCCCGTAGCGAGGAAAGATACACGCAGCTCCTGTGAACGTGGCATCAATGAGAAGCCCTGTGATTCGGGGGTGGGCGGTGTGCGTACCTCGAAACTGTGCTTGTTGTACCGTCTTGACGCAGATATACTTTGGTAGTACAGATTTCCCGAGCCCGGGCCAGAGATGACTTCGTCAAAGAAAGCGTTATTTTTGTTATCCTGGGCAAAGAAGGGGTAGCTGTCTGGTGTCACGACTGCCTCGGACGAGCGCGAGTTAGCGGCCTGTGATAATCGTATAGGAGTAGCGTTGAGCGGAAGGGGTGTGGGCGGCATGATGACTCCTGCGGCGTACGCGTAGCATCGAAGTTCCTGAAGTGCGAAGACGACGTGAATACGAGCCCATGCGCGCGGGTGACGCGACCCATGATGACACTCACCTCATGCGAAAAGGACGAGTACTCTGGGACCGCCGCGATGCTCTGATACGTATCTCCCTCGCTCTGCACTGGCTGAAACACATGTAGCCGGGGCAGCTTCGTCGGATCAGTCGTTGGGTGTATGGAGCCGACGAGAGGAGCCGTGCTGGATTCGCCCTCGGCCGGCTCGACAAACGGCTCAAAGAGCGGCGGTAACCCCAGCGCCGCGCGTGCTTGCGGCCCCGCAGGTTCTTGAGGCACTGGTTGCGGGGCCCTTCCCGTGGACGTATATGCCTTCAGGTAGTCTTCCATGCGGATTTCCTGCCAATGATCGTCGGCTCGACGATTCTGCGCCAAAGTACTGTGAACGGTCACTTTACCTCTGGGGACTTTGCCTGGTTTTCAGGGTGCGCGCATATGTGCATGAAGACATCTCGGCGCCGTGGGTCGATACTCATTTGGAGCGAAGGTGATCAAGCCGTTAAGCAGATGAGCTCGCCGCAGGCGGTATGGGCACGTGGTTGCGGGCCTACGGGGGCAGAGTCACAGTGGCAAAGGCTTCCTCGAGCGTTCAAGGGAGTCGTGATCATGGCCAGATATCCAACTCCACCCTCCATAAACGCCCGAGCATCTGCTGCCGATTCACATATGGGCCAGGCCAGCTGATTCATTTTGACAACCTCTATATATATTCTATATTTCTAATCCTTGACCGCAAACCGAGATGATTGGCGCAATTTAGGGCCAATCCGATACAAGATGAATCTAACAGCATGTCAGTGTCCAACGAAAACGAAAACGAAAACGTTTGGGACTGTCACTCACGGCAAGGGTGCCATAATAGCAGTGATACCAGCCAAAAGGCCTGTAGCGCCTACGGTGCCAAGCTTGTCATACATCGAGCCTGCGAACAATGGAAATGCGGCTGCGAATGTGAAACGCAGCGCGCTATTGCTCGCCATGGCAGAAGCGGCGATGGGCCGATAGGCAGTAACCTGGTAGGTAAACGTGGAGGTAAAGACAAAAAGAATGCCCATCCCGAATGGCACTGAGGCGATTATGGGGACGATCCAGGGGACGCGCGCATAGGTGGTAAATGCGAGCCAAACGAGACCTTGGATGGATGAGCATCGGGTGCCGCACGGCTAAAGGACGCTCACCTATAGGCACGAGGATTCCACCCACTTGGCCCATGTAGAGGCGAGTCTCGGGTGGTGGGTGTCCGTTGTATTTCTTTTCCTCGTGAGCAAAGAGTCTGCTGGAATGAGCAAATTGATTCGAACAAAATGACAAGCACTTACATGTTCCAAAACGGCTCTGTCGCTACTGCAATGATCATCCCTAAGCCAATGCCAAGAAACGACATTCCCGTTTCCCCGGTCGAAAATCCGTGGTGCTGCTCGAAAATGATTGGAAAGGCCTGGAACGTTAGATACAGAATTCCAAGCAGCAGCGCATCCCAGAGATTGAGGATTAGGACCATTCGGTCGAAGAACATGAGTTCTGAACAGCAGGTAAATTTAATGTCCACGCGGGGGGGGATTGAATGCGGCTTACGAAACGGGGTGTAGCAGCCGACTACGATTGAGCGCATAAGCGTCATATTGCGCCTGTCCAGAGGGGCGTAATAACTCGAGTTCCCAGTTGACTGACGCAAACTGAGACGCCATCAGCAGCGCACCACGACGAATGAATGGCGACGCACCGTTGGGCTTTCCACTTGAGGAGGACTGGCACATCTGTTTCGGGTAGGAACTGTGCTGCGTGAGCAAGTTCACAGGTGGTAGCTAACAAAGCTTACCAGGACAATTGCTATGAGCTCAAAGAAGGTCCATATGATTTGCAAGCGGAAGGTCCATCTCCAATTCGAAGGGTGCTGTTGGTCGGGTTAGCGGCGGAGGGTGCAGAAGCAATGCAGAGGTGCGCTGATTGCGTACTTGATTTATGAAGCTATAAGATGTTAGTGTATGTGGGTTGAGTCTTTGATAAACTATTCCACGTACCCACCGAGAAGAGGGCCGACGATGGGTCCAATGAACGGGCAAAGCGTGTAGATGGCCATTGGACTGGGTGATTCGGCGTCAATTTGGTGTCAATCGACGGGAGGTTCACCTGTACTTACTTGGCGACTGCGGCGTTTGAGAACATGTCACTCACGCTGCCTCCTGCGACAGACAAGAATGCAGCCCCACAGAGTCCAGTCGCGAATCGAAACAGCAGGTAGACCTCTATGCCGGTCAGTGCGTACAGGCGACAGTAGCATCCGACGACAATGTGCGGCACTCACCGATGTTGGGTGCAAACGCGATCGGGAATGAAAACAAGAAAAAGAACAGGTACGAGTACCGATACACGATGATCCTTCCATACAGCTCGCTCAGGGGCCCCACGACCAGCGGCCCGAGCCCGAGGCCCAGCACAAACATGCTAATCCCCAGTATACTCACCTCTTTCGCGACGTGGAACTCTGCTGCGATCCCGGCCTCGGTCGACGATGCCTGGCAATCGTTAGCGTAACAATCGATACACGACTGGAGGGTCTCACAATGGACGAAAAGCAAGTCACGCAGAGTGATGCAGAGCTGATCACAAGAATGGCCGTCCATTTCGCGAGTGTAGGCAGACACTGCGGGTCTTCGTGTGGCTCCAGTGTCACTAGGAAGGAATCCATAGTAGTGGGTGTATCCTGGCCGGTTGATAAGCTATTAGCCTCTTTAGACACCAACTCGTTCGTCTTGGTAGTTGAAGAGTCCATGGCGTGTGCGAGCCGCGGCCTCGCCTTCGATAGCTTAGGCTGGCAGATGTGAGCACTACAGTCGCAACACGATTGAATGATCTCACAGTGATTCTGAGATGAAAAGTTTAAGCAAGGCACGCCAAAGGCACGCACGTCGCACGGCGATGCGAGGATGGACAAAGTCCGCGCCGTGCTCGGAGTCGATGGCCCGGCGCGGGTAGCCGCCATGAGAATGGTCCTTTCATTGCGTGAGCGCAGCCAAAAACTGTGGGTCTTCGAACGGCTCAACAGGCGTTTTTGTGCGTTGGTCGACTTGCCAGATGCGCGTGCTTCACAAAACTCATAGACTACACAACGAAAGACGCGCGCTTCTTACATCAGCAAATCAGGTTCCGGAGGTTTGCATATCTTGGAATCTTTCCTCCTGGATACAACTTTGGGCGGAGACAGACATTTGATGGAATAAGTCATCCGGAACAGCGTAATAGAGATTCCGCAATAATTCGATGGAGAATGAGTAAACAATTACTAAGCCGGGCGAGAGTTTGCAGCCGAAACTCGAAGAACGGCGGCCCGCCGGTTAGACAAAGGCACCTCACATCCCCAACTTTCTCTTATTTTGCAACCACTTGTCAGCATCATTCATTGTTGGTACGACTTTGAGACCTTTTGAGACCTGGCAAGCCGGGAAGCTATGAGTGTCAGACAAAGGTCAACAAAGCCGGAGAGATGATACAAAAATACCGAGCTTTTCGAGGCCGCGAAGTGCAATTGAGGAAGGCGTTGCGGGCGCAGAACTTCCAGAAGTCACTGCCAACATGGTCTAGTTCGCATGATGTAGGGAAGCAAAAATATTGCCCGTTGGCTGGTTTGAACAACCGACCTCACCATCGCACTTACGAGTGGCGCGCTCTACCACTGAGCTAAACGGGCTGTGACAATCGTTCCTCTTGATCCTACATCCCCCTAAAATTATTTTCTGGTTTTTCTGTGATTCTATTTCGGTTCTGGAGTATATATGTACTACTTAGTACACTAGGTTAAAAGCAAGTTGCTCATCAACCAGTCATTTTGATGTCATGCTGACTGCACCGGTATCAATTAATGCACAAGATGTTGGTGGACAGATATATATGGTTGATAAGCTGATCACCGTTTGCTCCAAGTCCCTGACTCACCTACAGTGGCGCTCGGCAATCCCCTATGAGGCTAAATAATTTCCCAGGCCCGTCTCGGGACCAATGGTGTCCAAAAATCATCGATTTTGTGACCCAACCCTTCTACATTCCAGCAGTCCCTCGGAGAGCTTAGTTTAAGCGGCAAGTACACATATTTTGACCCGCTGAATCGAATGTTGTTCTCGGAATTTTAAATTTCTGCTGTATAAGATGAGATCTGGGAAATTTTACCTACTGTTTTCGTCCTTGAGAGGATTATTTAAAGATTCTACGAGCAACATTTTACTCTAATCGTATGCATGAGCATTTTTTGTACAGTCGGCAAAGCGATCAGATGAATGTGGAAAGAGCCTATTGCGATACAGTGGAGGATACAATTGCTGCAGCCACACTCAGTAACACTGACCCGCAGCTGACCAAATTCGGAAATTACATCATGATCCCTGCCTCATCCCCGCCTTGCTATCTCTCTTGCTTCACTCTTACCGTTGCAATAAGCGTTGTTTTATTTGTGTAACATAGCTATAGTACTCAGTAACATATTATCCTAGGTTGATCCGCCAAAAATAACGAAATTACATCCAGTAGAGCTTGCACACCGTGTGGGTCAGTGTTTGGACAGTGTTTGGCGGCGCGCCACTTCGAAATTTGGCCCGGGCGCAATCAGTGGATTGCCGAGGGCCACCTACAGCAGCCTACATCAAGCCTACATTCAAGCTATGCAATATTGTGAATTGAACCCCTCAAATCATACATAGCATGGCTCGTAGCCGTCTACGCACTCCCTGCGAGTAAAAACAAATGATTTGGAGCTGTCGGCAACCATAAGTACACTCTGCGATAGCTGGGTCGGTTTACCTGCTTATTTTGGCTGCGCCACTTGATTGTTCTGGTAACAAACCAAGATGCGACCTGAAATTCTAAATGTCCCTATCGATATGGAAACGCTGTAATAGGGACACTTAATCAATCTTGACGTGACTATGGTGCTTCTGACACACATAAGTTTCCATAGAAGGGGATCCTGGATTCCTAACCAAACGCATAAGTTGCCATATAGGGACTAGAGAGGGGTATTTGTCATTTGGCTCATCGTGCCTGATAAGCGGCATCTCGGCTTGCTTTGAATTGGATTTGAAGTATTTGAAACGTCTTCAAACCCTGCGGGAAGTCACCTACTCAATAGGTAAATAATTTGTATGACACGCCTACTAGGTTAAAACGGATGGTGAGTTGACAAGCAAATTAACCCTTGCCTTACCTCCCACTGACTCTGCCTGTACCCCCTGAAGTGCTCGGAGCGCTAGCTCTACCTTTCAATGGGCCTGGCTTTGGTATCACTTGGTGCAGATTCAGATGTAACAGTTCAGCTGCTGAGGCAGACTCAAGCTGCCGCATACATCGCGTTATGCTCGTTGATGGTATGCCAGCTTCGCGTTATTTCATAACACTTTTCTAAGTCTTAAAGCGCTGCAGGCTGTGATGTGGGACTGGATTCTGTCATTGGCGGAGGATTATCTATTGGTGAAGGGATGCAGGCACACTTTTGCCATGCTGGCTTATTTTCTGGCACGGTCTAGCGCAGTAACACTGTGTATTCTGGCCTTGATATTCTATTCAGGAGTCCCGCCGGGTGAGTCTTGTCTATGTGCATGGGACTGCATTGATTGCACACATACTCATCTTACCCCTCCAATGTACTCGCAGGCGATCATAGCTGCTCAATTATATTCTGGGGCATCGGGGTCATGACTGTTGTAGGCAGTGCCGCCAAATCATATCTCTTTCTTCTTCGCGTCCGTGCTGTGTATGGCAATTCGAAGCTTGTTACGTTGTGCGTCGGGGCGGGGTTGACTGTCGTTCTGGTCTCGAAGACGACGGTGGGCTTCATGACTCAGACCTCTGTGAGTCCAACACTATTAGCAAACATTGTCGAGCTTAGTGAACTCATTTGCAATTTTTGGAAGCCCTTGGGACAAAGCGGATACTGTTCCGTCACCGATTTAACACTATTCCCGGTCATTTCGCTGTGGTTAAATCTGGCCTATGATACCTGCATCTTTATCTCGATTTCCGCCCGGCTGACCTCCCACGCGACTTCTACAACAACACCTTGGAATCTATCATTTGTTCGCGGGTACGGCCTTCCTCGCACCATGCGCCACCTTCTCCAGGACGGGCAGCTTTATTACTGGTAACGTGCCAGCCTTTTTTCAGCTTTGTATATGTTTAAATGATGATCCTTCAGCACCACTCTGATATTTCTACTCTCGTCGGCCATTATTGCTAGCTCACCAGTCGGCCCAAATTTCCAAGCGACATTCGCAGTGCCAGCAATCATTATGGAGACCATCATGACTTGCAAAGTGTTTCGCGCCATGTTTCTACGCTCGCTGGATGTTGAGAAGAATATGACCATGGCCCTAGGAGAGTTACCCACGTCCATCTATGATATGGCAACTATGTAACTTCGAACACGGATAATGGACACCCAGCGAGAGCATGTTTGTTGAACGCCGCTTCATGGCCATATGTAGTTTTGATTTTTGCAATCGTAACACTGATGTACACATTAGCCCGTCGGGCCTGTTCCTCGTTATGATGGCGAAGGAAGTTGAAGAGATGTCCTCCCATCCGGCTCCCAAGAACACGATGCTAGACTTGTAGTGGATCCCGCGGCGGGCGTCCATGAACCGGCCAAAAGCATAGGGGATCTCTCAAACATCGATGCTTGAATTATAGCCTGGGATATACAAAACAAAACAAACATGCACATGAGCGTACTGGAATGAGTCTTGGTGCGAAGTCGAAAGCTTCCAAAAGAGATAGATAGATGCATGAAAGAGTTACGTGTAGCATGACGTGACAAAATGGGACGGTGTCGGGAAAGATGTGATGTGTGTAGGAAATCGAAGAGGACATGGCGAGCTCTGAGCTCTGAACAGATCGAGCAAATAGGATGATGGGTATAGGAATTTGGATACATAAAATGCAAGCAGTGGATGGTGGACGAGGAATCGGGGTTGTGAGGATGTTGGATGGGAAGGACAGATGGGCAGATGTAGGGGTCCTGAGGGTCTGAGCGTGGTCGCCGCGAAGAAAAATAAAAAATGTCAGAGTGAAGCGCGCGGGTGTCTTCGTCATCGGATGAGCCTGCCGTAGTCGAGGCGGCTATCAATCTTCGACTGTGTGTTCTCGCGCTTCGGGAATGCGTTCCAGAATCTCAAGGTCTCGTCGCCTGCACCGGTGACGATAGTTTCTCCGTCCGGGCTCATGGCTAGGTACAACACACGATGCGTGTGTCCCGTAAGAGACGCGACCATATTCAGCGTTGGATACTTCCAGATGCATATTTGATTCTGCGCCGTCGTCGAAGAGAAGCCATGCGTTGAGACCAACTCGTGGGAGGTCAAAGACCATATCAAGTTGCATACCTGCGAATGCATAAGTATGAATTGGGGGAAAAGAAAGGGGAAAGCGCACCTGGCTGCCCGTGTCTAGCTCATTGAGCATGGTCCCGTTGAGCGTATTCCAGAACCGTATGTGCTTATCCTGCGTCCCACCACCTGTCGCTAGCACACCTGACACATGTGGGTCCCACGCGAGCGCCTTAACAGCTGCTGTATGTTCGTGGAACTTCCATAGCGGCGAATCACCCGCATCCTCTCCCGCACTCCCACTCGCATTCCCCCCAGCCGATCGTGTAGTGCTGCCTGCGGCAGCTGCTCGTTTGGAGCCCCGCAGATCCCATATGCAGACCTTGTTGTCATTTCCGCCGCTCGCCAGCGTCGCCGACTGGGGTCCCGCCTCGCCACTCCATTTCAGCCCACAGACCTCCTGCTTATGTCCCGTACATCGCTTGAATGGCCGCTGCGACGGCTCTCGCACATCGCGATGGTGGACTGTGCGGTCGCGCGAACCTGAGCTCAGCACATGCGAGCTCCACGCCAGCGCGCCGATTCGTTGATTATGGGCCTGCGGGTAGGTGCGTAGAGGGGTGAGGGTGGTGGCGTCGTATATATGTAGGCGCCCCGATGTCGTGCCCACTGCCAGGGTTGTCCCCTTCTGCACCCATGAGACAGAGCTGACATGGTCCTGTGACAAGGCCGAGCCGGTCCCGGGATTGAGGTCACAGAGTTTGTTGACTGATGCATTGTGTGCGGTCCACAAATACACACATGAGCCCAGCCCCACACCGAGTACGTTCGTGCTTGACCAATCCACGAGGTTGAGGTAAAAGTCGTCGGCAAGGTCGGGTGCGTCAAGCACGCGGTATGGCGTCTTGCATACGCTGCGTAGTTTCCGCCGTGGGCTTTCTAGCAGCTGCCGACTCTCCGCCCTCACGGGGCTCATCGAGTACGCCTCATCCGTCGGTGTGTCTAGCCGTCGAGTTGGGGTGGCTGGGTTCGATGCAGACGGTGAATTGTAAGCGAATATGCGACGACGCGTCGGCGTTGATGGGGGAACTGTTGAGGAGGAGGTGCTGGGTCGAGTAGGAGATGCGGGTCGACGAGGTGAGGGTGGTGTTACTTCCGTGTGTAATACAGATGTGAATATAGCATTGGCTTGTTCTAGATTTGGGTCAGCATCGATCCAAGTCATCAACTATGGGAAACGCACCTTTAAGAGCGTCTGACTCTGAAGGAATGATCCTGGTTTTAGAGGGTGTAGATGGTCCTCCATCCTCCATAAGATGGTATGACGTCCGCATGTCACCCGCGTCTCGAGAGGGTACAAATCTGTCCCCGTAGTCTC